GTCCTTGAGCTCACAGAGATCCGTCTGTCTCTGCCTTCTGAGTGCAGAGACTAGAAGCATCTGCTACCCTTGGGAGGCTAAGACAAAAACCACAAGTTCAAGGACAGCCTAAGCTACTTACGAAGACCATGCCTGGAAAACACAAAAAAGAGGCCCCAAAGATCTTTTGTTATATTTGTCAAAAGATGCAGTCACACACTCACAGCAAGTTTGCAGCTCTGATCTGACTTTTATTTGTGATTCTTCATTCAGGCAGCCTGCACTCTAAAAACACAACAAATGTGCCCATAAGAGAGCAGAGGAGGCTAGCTTCCAGACAGGAAAGGGCTGTGGGGTAGAAAGAGGAACTGAAAAAGCCTGGGCCTTTGAAAGTCACTTTCCCTAGGCAGGTTAAAGTCAGGGGACTTAGCATGGAGACTGGCACTGCTCTTTGGGAAGAAATATCTCTCTGTCCCTATTTCTGGGAATACACTGTTTCGGCTTGAGAATGTAACTTTGCCATAAGCGTCTCTGTTTTGGTTTGGTTTGTTAGGCTTAGATGAGTGCAATTCAAACCAACAATCTTTGGAAACTTTAATATATCAACAATATCTTAGGAATTAAAAACGGAAGACTTCTGAGATGACTCAGTCAGTCAATGAGGTGTTTCATCTTCAGAACTCACATTCTAAAAAGTCAAGCATGGTAAAATAAAGTGGAATAAATCTGTAATCCTAGTGCCAAGGAGGCAGAGGCTAGGGGAGTCCTGGAGTTTGCCAGTCAGTCAGCCTAGGCTATGTTGCAAGTTCCAGGTCATTGGGAAACACTGTCTCAAAAAAGACAGGGGCGAGGAGTGGGGGTGGGGTGAGATGGCTTACTAGGTAAAAGCACTTGCCACACAAGCCTGATGACTTGAGTTCAGTCCCTGGAATCCACCATGGAATGAGAGAACTAATTTCTGAAAGTTGTCCTCTGACTTCCACATATATATTTATGACACATGCATGCCTGGACTTACACACACACACACACACACACACACACACACACACACACACACACACACAGCACAATTAAAAACAAATCTTTTAAAATAGTCTCTATTATCTGCTTACTAGGAACGAGCTGGAACCTGTGCGCCAATGTTTCAATACGTGGTTTGGTTAGCGTGCATGGGGAAGAGCTAGCTTCCCACAGATCTGTAATTGAAGAGAAGGACCATCTTAATGGCCCCTTCAGGTAATTGTGCATGGTTGTGCAGCCCCCTGAGCACCCCACAGTCCATTGACAAAGTGAGAGTGCAAACTATTATGAAAATAGTCTCAGCCTTGTCGACTCCCTGAAAGGGCCTCAGAGATCCTGCAGTTCCCTGGCTCACACTTTCATAACTGCCATCTTTGCAAAATTATTACACATTCGAAGAATCGTGTATAATAGGAAGAAATGAAAACAGCCCAACTGCTGGTTGCTGTCGGTGCGGTGGTGAGTGAGGCCCACACAAAACAGGTGCCTAAGAGACAAATGGATGAGCCTGCCCAAGCATTGTGACAGGAGAGAGCCGTGTCACCTAGCTTCCTGTTGTGACTTGTGTCACATCAAACCTTCCTCCAGCTGGAGCCTTTTCATTTCTGAAACACTTGATTTCAGACCAAAGATTAAAAGCCTACTTCCTGTTTTGCAGGGATGTTTTTGCTGTTTCAAAATACCCCGCAAATGCAGGACTTGATAAACACAAAGGATCCTTGGAGGATCTGGCAAATGAAAAGGTCTTCCCTTGAGAGATTTGGAAGCACAAATCTAAAGTGCGTTTTATGTTTAAAGTTGAGCCTCTTTACTGGGATAAAAATCTTTCAGGGCAAGCAAAAATAACTAAATAAATAAATAAGGAAAATAAAATTCACTGTCCTGATCTCTAGTTACAAAGAAAAAAAGAACAATGGATTTTGTAGAAACCAAATAGACCACTGAAATTATCCTCATCAACACACAGTCTGTGTGGGCTGTAGGGAAGTGGACCATGAGTCCTGTGAGTGGAACTGTTTCCCAACGGGCTCCACCCTCCACCGCCACCAGTCACCCCGCCCCATCCCCTACATACCACACCCTTACATAGCTTCTACATAGTGTATTCTCTCAACATATGAGAACAAGTGGCCAAAGAGGTCCCATCTGGGGCCTGGGGAAATGGCTCAGCAGCTAAGAGCACTTTCAGAGGATGAGGTTCAATTCCCAGCACCTGTTTTATGGCCCACACCTGTAACTCCTCTTCCAGGAGATGGACACCCTTTCTGTCCTCCACAGGCACTACACACACGTGGTTGTACATACATACACACATACATGCAGACAAAACACTCATACACATAAAATAAAAATCAGTGAATCTGAAGCAAAAAGTCTGAACTGAGAAGAATCAACCATCACACACTATCCCCGCAATTATAACACACATATACATTAGTAGTGATCAGTACAGTCAGGCCTCACGAATCCAGGCTCTTGCCTGGCGAACTTACTAGTTTCCCACCTAGACTTCCACATGCTAGTACTAAAAAGCATTTTTGAGATACCAGATATCAAGAATCTCCCTCCAGCTAGGCCATGATGGTGCACGCCTTTGGACCCAGCACTCTGGAGGCAGAGGCAGGCAGATCCCTATGAATTCAAGGCCAGCCTGGTAAGTTCTAGGACAGCCAGGACTACAGGGGGAAAACCCGTCTGGAACCCCCCCCAAAATTTTCTATGTTCCTATTGTGGGATGTCTCTGTCACCAGCACTGTCCCCCAAACACCCACTTACTACCCTAATTTAGTCCCTAACGTCCAAGTAAACAGATATGAACCTCCAAGATCAGGACCTGATAGTCTCTAGTTAGAAGAAATTCACCCGGACTAGAGAGAGCTGGCTCAAGTAGCCACCTAGTAAGCAGTTAAGGGATTTTTGCCTCATTGTTGAAACTTTTAAATCAATAACCATGCATTCATTTGTTTTCCGGCTCCCTCTCTCTCTGTGATTTTTTTTTCCAAACAGTTTTGGGTACGTCACAACACAAGTCTTGGGGTGTAGTTCAGTAGAACACTTGGTTAACATGTGCCACTGAAAAAAAAATATATATAGTGTGTGTGTGTATGTGCGCGTGCATGCACACGCACGATTATTATTATTATTATTATTATTGGTTTTCGAGACACTATTATAATACAGCTCAAGGTGGAGCCTCAGCAGATCCCATGGTGGTGGGGGACAGGACAAACACACCATCAGGCAGAAATTACATGGGAAGGAAGTTTTATTGGGGAGGGAAGGGAGTGGAGGGAGTGGGGGAAGGGGAAGAGAAACAGGGAGGGAGGGAGGGAGGGATGGAGGGAGGGAGGGAGGAGATGGGAAAAGTGCTGCCTGCTCCTTCAGAGAAACAAGGGGAAAGAGAGGGAGTGGGCGGAGCTTGTCTGTTAAAAGGGACCTTTGCACCTAGTGACAGCAGCCATAGGAGCCTGGGCTGGCCAGGGTACTGCCTGAGTGCCTCCTGCCAGGTGATCGGGGCAGGCCAGCATTATGCCTGAATCCAATCCTAACACCCACCACTCCTGACTTAAGTGTGTACTTTAGCTCTACAATAAAACTTCTTCCTGATTCCTCCAAAAGAAAGTGATGATTGTTCTGAGTAAAATGTAAGGATGAAAGGAAAGAGAACTGTGGATTATTGAGGAGACAAGGAACAAAGAGTCCGTCAGTAATACCTAAACCTAAACATACATGTGTACACACACATAGGTACAATAATCTCTGAAAGGCAGAGAACACAGATAATATTTATTTTTGCCTTCAGGGAGGGGGCCTGGAGAAAGTAGAACATAACCTTTTGTCTTTGTTTTGTTGTGGTAAAAATACACATAGCATAAACTGTATCCTGTTATAACTATTTTAAAGTACATAATTCAATGACTTCTAGTACATTCACAGCGCTGTGTGACCTTAACTTCTGTCAAACTCCAGGGTATTGCCTCACCCCATGTTCATGAAAAAAAATTCTTGTTGCCTGCTACTTCCATCTTCTGGTTACTAGTAACTTTTGCTTTACATCTCTATGAATTACCTCATCTCCATATTTCATAGAAAAATAGCAATATAACCTATAGCCTTTTAAACATGTCCTCCTTCGCTTGGCATGTCCTCAAGGCCCATTTATATTTTAGACTGTATTAGTCTTCATTCTTTTCTAGAGCTGAATAATACTCCATTGTGTGGAGAAAATCTGTTTGTGGTAGGAGCCGGATACTGATGTCACAGTGCGCATGTGGAGGTCAGGCTGGAGCTTGGGTGGTCAGACTTGGCAGAAAGCCCCTTTACTCACTGAGCCATCTCTCTGATTTGTATATGTACTCATCAGTGATGACATCTGAGCCATTTTCAACTTTTAGTTATTGTGATTAGCACTATGAACATTGTGTACAGCCAAAAACCCCTTAGTGACTTTTCAGTGTTGTATCATGTTGCATATGTTGCCTAACACTACAAAAGACTGTTTCAATAAAATAAAACAAATGCATTACTTTATAACTGCCGCTTGTCAGCTCTTCAAGATCATTACTGGGTCAACAAACAGGTCTCCTAGGACCTAAAAGAAACTGAGGGATAGAGAGTATAAAATAGAATCCAATTTTAAAATAACCCAGTGGCTCTTCAAGCTGCAACTGCACCATTCATGAAGTGTTTCAGAAGCCTTGCCCTCACGGGCGTGGGAAGGACTGGGAGAATATGTTCTTGATTCATGTTTCTCAAAAAGGGAAAGCGATAATTAAAGTTGGTTTGACCATGTGACTATGTTGACTTGGTCTGATTCACGGATTCTCCCCGAGAGTCTGGCTCCTGCTGCGCCACAGACGTCCTCTAGGGGGCGAGCCCAGGGGACGCGGAGTTCTCGGAGGAGCTCTGAGAGGTAGACAGAGAGAACTGGGCCAGTAGAGTCTTTGCACAGGGAAAACACCATGACGAAGCATCCAGTGCATGGAGGACACTTGGGAGACGCGTTTCTCAAGCACTTTATTTTTATAAACAGGGAGACGAAGAGCCAGAATAACTGCTGCTGTCACAAACCCTGGAGGCAGGAAGCCCGGAACTGTCTGCTATGATGCAATGTGCAGTGTGGGGACAGAGGCTTTCCATAGCTCAGGGAGCAGAGTGTGAATGTCTCCACCCTAGCCCTCTGCCTTCCTCCTTCCGACCCCGCCGCTTACTTACATGTGTGACCCAGGGCCGGTAACTGAGTCTTTGTAGGTCATGTCTTTATCTGCTTCCTGCGGCCGGCAGAGGTGAGACCGGAACTCGGTGTGTATCAGACCTCCTTTATGCTCTATATATACGAGATTTTCAATATGTGCTTGGTTATATAGTTCCTTTGAATAAATGAATCTTTTTCCTTTCTCTCTCTTTCTTGTCTTTTGAGACAGCGTCTCACTACATAGCTCAGGCTGAATTTCTCGAACCTCCTGCCTTAGTCTGGGATTCTGGGATTTACTGGTTTGCAACACCCCACCTTCCCCAAATAAACCTTACATTTTTATTTTCTGTATCATCATCATCGTCGTCTGTAGCTATCAGATGACAACTTAAGTCAGTTCTCTCCTTCCATCAGGTGGGTTACAAGGAGCTCAGGCGATCCAGCTTGTATAGCAAGTTCTTTTACCTGTGCCACCTCCCCGGCTCCCCGGTACATCATTATTGGTGACATCTTCTCATATGGGGAGGTTGACCCTGGCAGGGGAAGAGAATGAGAGTCCTGAGTGTAAGCCCCACTGCTGGGGTCAAAGGCTCCTCTGTGAAGCCTGCCCAGTTCTGTGTAGGTTCTGCTGTCTGACAACAGGGCAACCTTTGAGCCTCTCCAAGGCCAAAGGGGCCACAGCCTCCTTGCCTCCCTCTCCTGCCTTTGGAGAGAGCTGAGTTTGGCTATTTCAGATATCACTGACCCTCCTTGCCCATGGGTATCACATGCACAGATCCAACCAATCATGTTTTAGGAATGTTCCTGTGGCTTTGTTTTGATTGTATCTAGAATACTTTTGAGAATGTACAACTCTAGGTTCAGAGCACACATCTGTGGTGCTGGGGGGGTGCAAAGAGATGGGATTTTCTTTTGTTTTGATTTTTGAGGCAGGGTCTTTCTACATAGCTTGGCTGTCCTGGAACTCACTATGTAGACTAGACTGGCCTCAAACTCACAGAGATCTGTCAGTCTCTGCCTTTTGATTAAAGGCATGCACCACCAAGACTGGCTAGGGAGAGGATTCTTAAGAATGACTGTTAGCCAGGTGGTGGTGGCAGGGGGCTGGTACATGCCTTTAATCCTAGTATTCAGGAGGCAGGGGCAGGGGCATAGGCAGCAGATCTCGGTTTAAAAAAAAATGACCAGCCGGGCAGTGGTGGCGCACTCCTTTAACCCCAGCACTCGGGAGGCAGAGGCAGGCGGATCTCTGTGAGTTCGAGGCCAGCCTGGTCTACAAGAGCTAGTTCCAGGACAGTCTCCAAAGCCACAGAGAAACCCTGTCTCGAAAAACAAAAAAAAAAAACAAAAAAACAACAAAAAAAAAGACCAAACAAAGAAGAGAGTGAGGACCATGTTCTGTCCTTACTGTGGTAGCCACCCAACTGTATGCATGAGTCAAAATCCATGAACACGTGCAAGAAGGGAGTGGAGTTTATTGTAGATGGGAGACTATGGATTACTGAATCCCACTGTCCTGCACAGAGGTAGCAATGGTCAATAAACTGAAGTTTTTTAAGTTGGTCTTAACAAACTATATGTTCTCTCTCATATACAGATTTTACCCTCCAATTAAAAACAATCTTATGTGGAAGCCTGGAGAGATGGCTCAGTGGTTAAGAGAGAGATGACTCTGTGGTTAAGAGCACTCACTGCTCTTGCAGAGGACCTGAGTTTAGTTCCCAGCACCCATATGGGGAGGCTCAAAACCTCCTGTAACTCTAGTTCCAGGCTATCCTTTAACTTCTTCTGGTCTTGGTCGGCACTTACACACACATGGTACACATACATATATATGATCAGGCCTACACACATACATGTAGCTTTCTATTTAAGATTTTATATTATTTTAATTATATGTGTGTACATGTATTCAAGTACCTTCAGAGGCCAGAGACATTGGACATCCTTGGAGCTGGGGTTCTAGGAGTTTGTGAGCCACCTGTCATGGGTGCTGGGAATAGAACTGGGGTCCTCTGGACGATCAGGCTATACTCTTAACTGCTGCTCCATCTCTCTAGTCCCAAAAGTAGGATTTTTTGGTTTGGCTTGGGGTCTTATTTTCAGTCCTGGTATTGAACCTAGGGCTTCATGTGTGTTCAGCAAGCGTTCTGCACTAAGCTACAGGCCAGCCTTCTTACCTTCTAATTTTTACATGTATGTAGCTATGGAAACTGAATGTGTGTAAAAGTCATAAATCTAGAAAGGGGCCACTCTAAGGAAGAGGGTTGGGGAGGGTAATAGGTCCGATGACAGAGAAATGGAAAGATGACTCTGGGGTCAGAAGGGTACAAAAGAGAAGAGTTGGGAGGGCTAACCAAAACAAAGTATGGGTGAAAATGTAGTAAGGAAACCTGTTCTTTGTATGCCGACTCTTCTTTTTTCTTTTTTAAAGACCTGGGTGGGCGTGTTGGCTTACTCTTCTAGATTCCCAGCATTCAGACGGCAGAAGCACGCATATCTATGTGGGTTAGAGACCTGGCTGGTCCTACATGATGAGTTCAAGGACAGTCAGAGGCACATGGTGAGACACTGTCTGAAAAAAAAAATGGAGAGATGACTCAGTGGTTAAGAGCAGACATCAGTCTTCCAGAGGACCAGAGTTTAGTTGCCAGCAGCCATGCTGGGTAGCTCACAACCACCTATAACTCTAACTGGAGGGGATCTGATGTTATTTCCTGACCTGCACCAGCAATTCCTTCAAACAGATATGTATGTGTAGATATTTTAATCAAATCATAACTGTTTTTTAAATAACAGTATTAAATGCAGTCTGATGAGAAGGCAGGAGCCAGGCAGTGCGCACACACCTTTTATCCCAGCCTCCTAGGAAGAGGCTGGCAGGTCTCTGAGCTTGAGGCCAGCCTGGTCTACAGAGTGAGTTTCAGGTCAGCCAGGGCTATACTGAGAAACCCCGTCTCAGAAAGAGAGAGGGTGGGGTGGGGCGGGGCAGTTGAGTAAGTTCATGATTTGGTCAGGTCCCGTTAATCTCCAGGTTAGGGTAGCAAGCTTTGGCTGGACGAAAAGTGTCTGTCTAAACTGAACATGTACAGGTTTTCTCTTGTCATTATGCTATTGTGTAACAGCCTTGAACATAAATGTATTTGGTGTCTTTGCATTATGAAAGTCCAGCTATCTTTTCTAAATTTTCACAATTTATACCAGATATATAAGAAGACTTTAAAATTAGATTATAAGTCTTAATTCTTACAGTTTTCTTACTGGAAGTAGAATGGAGTGGTGCTAAATCATACACATTTTTCATTATATAAAATGTTGCAGGGCTAGGGAGGTGGCTCGGTAGGTAAAGCGCTTGACGTGCAAGCATGAGGACTTCTGTTCAGATTCCCAACTCCCATAAAAACTGGTGGTGGCAATATGCATTTTAACCTCAGTGCTTGGGACACAGAGACAGGCAGATTCCAGGAACTCATTGGCCAGCCAATCCAAGCAAAATGGAGAGCTCCAGGTCTAGTGGCAGATTCTTACTGTAAATAACAAGGTCTGGAGAGATGACTCAGTAGTTAGGAGCATTTGATACTCTTGCAGATGGTAACCCAAGTTTGGTTACCAGCATCCATATCAGGCAGTTTTCAGTCACTTATAACTCTAGCTCATGGGGACCTAACACCATCTTCTGGCCTCTAAGGGCACCTGCATACATGTAGTGCCCATGCAGAGGGGCCTGGCATGCACACATACAAATACACAGGCTATGTGATGGAAGGTGCTAGAGGAAGACACCTGAATTTGACCTCAGGCTTCCACACATGACCGGGTAAATGTGCCCCGCCCTCCACCAGGCACATACACATAAATAAAACACAATATTGTTCTTTTTAAAAATCATGCTACAATCTACAAAACCTGGGGGAGGGGGCGGGTAGAGAAAAGAAAGGAAACTTTCTTACAATCCCAGCAGAGTTTAAAACATCTTAAATATATCTTTTGACAACGTCCAGATCATGATTTCTCTTTAAAAATATGCTTCTTCGCTACATAATGGTGACATTTGTTCTTCCGTCCAACATTTCTTAAGTGCTTACTACATATTTAGCACTGGGGTGCAAAGATAAATTAGACACTGTGTTGTACCTTTGCCCTTCATAAGTGTTTCAACTTTGTCAGTGCATAGGAAGGAGGGTGCCCTGACCTGACAGATAAAAGCAGGGGGCAGGAGACATCTGGCAGGGAAAGGAAGATCAGGGAGCCCGGGAGGCTAAGGAGTCTGGGGAAAGAAGAGGTGGGAGGCAGTGTTTGCCAGGCAAGTAAATTGTGGCAGGTGTTATAAGCAGTTAGTTTAGCCCTGGGAAGCTCTCAAATTTCATCTTAACCCCTTTCTCCAAGATTAAAACAAACAAACAAACAGAAACACTTTATCTGTACAGATACTGTTCTTTTGTAATAGCTGACAAAGTTTTCAAGATCTCATCTGCCCGCTGTCTTACTTTCCACTTAGCTGAGACTCCGTGCCAGACTTTGAGCTTTCCTCTCCTTGGGTCATATGCATGAATCTTGCGCCCTTCCTTGTGTGATTTCCTTGGAGCCATTCCCTGGTACCCTTGAGTGCTCAGTTGAAAATCTTATGACTAAGTGAATGGATTTCCTCTTGGGAGTCTCAGCATTCCTTTCTTCCTCCTCCTTCCATAACTTCAGTAACACCTGTGCCAGGCTCATTGCCTTCTGCTGTTTTTGAGTCTCTGAGTTACCTTCCGGTTTCCACTCAAGTCTGTTGCTTTTCCTGGCCAAGTGCCAGGTGCTGCCTCTTGGGGGTGTTTCAGTGCACACCGGCCTCCTTTGGTCTCCAAGAGGCCAATGAGCTCTGGGGAAGGAGGAAGAGACGTCTTCGTACCTGGCCAGAACCCAAAAGAGCAGGCTGATCAAGTCAGAGCCCTCACACCTTGGACCTGCCCCAACTCCACCCAACGATTCTATCAATGTGTAAATCTGGATACTGTTTGCATAAGTCTTCCTTCTGCCTACCCTTCCCCCAGCAAGAAGGTACAGTCCAGGCAAGAACCGAGGGTAGGACTCCAATCTGACGTTAGGAAACTGGACTCACACTTTCTAGTCAACTCAGGATTTATTTGCATAGCAGCCCCTGCATCATACTATGGATAGATGTTTTAGTGAGATGTGACAGAGAACAGGAGAAAAATGCTGGCATGGAATGAGTAGCTCTGGGTTGGCCTCCTGGCTTGAGCACTTTAAGTGTCAGTTTCCTTATTGGTAACAGGATGGATTTAACTGCATGGCTCTCAAAAGTCCCTCAAGTACCAAGGGCCTACTCCTGCATCCTGTCCCCAGGGAGAATGCTGCTACAGGACATCTGACTTCTCCCATGATGACCACTCTGCCCTCAGAGTTAGTCCCACAACACCGGCCCCTCACAAGGACCTAGATTTAGGGTAGCCTGACAAAGATGAAGTACAGAAACAAGGGAAACAGTTTGTTCAAAGGAACCTAGCTCCTAGAAAAGCCCACATTCTCAAGAGACTGAAAAGACCTGGTGAGGTGCCCGGAAAGCCACAGCTACTAATAGAAATCAGTGATGTGATTCCACTGGGCTTTCCCCTTCCCCTCGGCTCTCCTCACTCCCCAAGATGCTTCTCTCGGAAGCCAAGATGAGGGCATTAGGTCACAGAGTATCTCATAAGAGGAGGTGTTCCCTGCCCTTTACAACCCTGCTCTCTGGCCCTCTGTCTCCCTCTCCTCCAGAGCCAGAGACACATTAGCCAAGTTCCTGTGTGTGTGTGTGTGTGTGTGTGTGTGTGTGTGTGTGTGTGTGTGTGTGTGTGTGTGTATGGGGGGGATATCATTTATTTGTGCTTCAAGCTTAAGGCTCTCAGCAAGCTCAAGTTCCTTCTACAGCATGGCGGTGACCCTAGGGAGGGCCTCTAGCAAGCTCTAATCTGTAGCCTGCTTTCATGGAGGTAAGATCTTCAGGTAGGGTCTTCCTGTTTAGTCAGGAAGAGAGGCTCCACCCCTTCCAGGGCCCGAAGCTCCCAACATGGTGCCACCCGACTCTTCAGAGTCCTTTTAGTCTTTGTTAGATCATGGTTGTCTGGTTGTCGTGTGTGTGTCTGTGTCTGTGTGTGTGTGTGTGTGTGTCTGTGTGTCTGTGTGTGTGTCTGTGGAACTAACCCAGGGCCTGTGCATACTGGGCTATCACTAACCCATGGCTTGCCCACTTTATTTTCCAGTGTGAATATACTGGCAATCTTCTCTCCAAATCTTCTTCTAAGGAGGCTAGGGCAAAAGATAAAGTTCCAAAATATGTGGGATGAAGCTGGTGACTCGTGTTTATCAGGAACCTATTGTATGAGTGTCAGATGTTACATGTTTTCACGTGATTACATACATTCCTTAATACCTCATGGGGGAGGGATGGTTATAACCCTCCATTTTCTAGCTTTGGGATCTCAGAGGCTCAGAGATAGTAAGTCACTTATCTAAGGTCACATTGTTACTATAAGGTAAAGGGACACACAGACTCAGCTCTGTCCATCAGGCTGCTATACTCAAATGACAAACATTTACTAAGAACCTACTTCAGCGATAAACAGATAGAACTATCTGTTCTAGTTGCATTTTGTTGCTGTGAGAAAATGCTAACCACAAGCAACTTAGGGAGCCAGGTGCATGCCTTTAATCCTAGCACTCAGGAGGCAGAGGTAGGCAGAACTCTGAGTTTGAGGCCAGCCTGGTCTATAGAGTTCCAGGTCAGCCAGGGCTACACAGAGAAAACAAAACTTAGAGGAGGAATGGATTTATCTGGCTTCTACTTCCAGGTCACAGTTCATCAATGAGAGAAGTCAGGGCAGGCACCCAAGCAGGAACTTGAAGCAGAAACTGTGAGGCTTCCTGGCTGGCTTCTAGGCTCATGCTTAACTCCCAGGACCTCCTACCTAGTGAGTGGAGTCACACAGTGGGCTGGGTCCTCCCACATCAATTAATTAATAATCAAGACAATCCCCACAGACATGCCTACAGGCCAATCCCTCAACTGAGACTCTAGGACAATACACATACACAGGAGTAAAGAATGAGCAGTTGGTGCACTCCAGGGGTACAATGTCTAACAAGGAGGTTCTGTGAGTGTGAAGAGATGGGAACAAGGGCTATCTCAGACAGTCATGTCCTGTGGGGACATGCTCTAAGAAACGAGTCATTTGATGATGTCATTGTTGTAAGTACATCAAAGAGATTGCCAAACCTAGATGGTATAGTCTGGTCCACACCTAGCTATATGGTGTGGAGCTGTTGCTCCTAGGACCATTATGAACAAAACACAAGATTACATCAAACATAAGAAACAATGATGCAATTCTGAGGTGTGGTAACCTCCAGATGTGTGCGATGTTGCTGCCAGTGCAACCTATCATTCTACAGTAAACATTTTTTATAAATGGGGTACATTCTAAAAAACACCAGTAAGAAGTCTAATAAGTACATAAACCGGCAACATTTATTATCAAGTATTTGCTGTAGATTGTTACATGTGCCATACTGTAGGTGTGTTTACATCAGCAGCGC